GGTTTATTATATCCCATAGTGGCACTAGAATAATTTCAGCATTCTTGGATTGCTGTATGTGTGATTAAACCTTTTTATTACTATTCTCCAGACTAGTAAAATGTAATTACAATGTAATAATACAAAAAGTACCACATTTCTTAGTTATTAAAAATTTTAGTTATTACATGGCGAGTTACATAATGAATTACATTTACATTTGATTTATCATCTGTATCAACAAATCTTTGTCTACACTTTTAACCGTTTTATGCTTGTTTCAACAACAGAATCATGGCAAAAATTGTGATTTTTCTTTCTAGAAAATAACTGTATGCCCTAAAATTTTCATCAAATTCAAATCTTAAATCTCAACAACAAAATATCTTCTCTTTTAATTGCAAACACAGGTGTGGTATAGATGAAACGTTTGGAATTCACACTTTTGACAGAATTTCTGTTTTTCTATTGAGCTGAGTGAGAAATAATATAAAATTACACCCTACCAAAGTAAGTATCTCCAATTTTTTTCTGCATTATTTGAGAACAGTGGCTTCTTTTACATTGTGTGAAAATTTATTGATGAATGGCCTAATAGAAATGTTCCAAAATTGCTTAGAGTAAAATCTCTTTACATTAACTTACATTAAAATCAAACAACATTTTAGAAATACTTTTTTTTTTTCCTTTTGGAGAGTGATGTTTTGTTATTGCTGGTAATGGCTATTTATCCTGTGAGTTAACCCAACAACGCATTGTGGTGGTCAAGAGTTTGGTGAAATTTGGTTTACTTTGACACGTGTGGATTGAGCTGAGTTGCTGAACAGTTTTAAAGCACATCAATCAGCCCTGGGCACATGTTTCCATCTACACACTGGCATTTAGAAGGCGGACGGGTATCTGATAGAACGAAGGGCTGTCTCCGCCGTTACCCTCCGCTCCTTCACGGGTAATTGACTTTATTTCAGGATCATTGAAGCACTGCCAAACAAAAGCCCGTGAGTCCAGCAGTACATCATGTCCCATCAAACATGTCTTTTTCCACCACGCGGCTGTGTTTTATATTGAGCGTTGGTTATTTATTTCATTATTTTGAAACAGGGCTAGGCTGTTGTGGCTGAGCGGGCCTGAGATTGGAGCTCTAAGGGGATGTGGGGTGATGAGGAGGTGAGAGGAGCAGGAGCGCTGGGCCTCATTGATCAGATGATGGAGTACTGGTGTGTTTTTCAGAGATAGAGACCCATCCAGCCCTAGGCAGCCATGTGATGAGTGGAAAACAGCTGTAGAGCACAAATGGGAGTAAAAGCGGCTGGATGAGAGAGGATGAGGGAAATTGAGTAAAGCAGACAACACTCATGCTGCACCACGGCGGAATTTTTCATAACCAGCGTGCTCTGTCGCATGTTTGCGTAGTATTTTACCAAGAGCTTCTCCTTGTCAGGGTGTTAATGGCAGCCGCCTGAGAGTGCTGAATGGAGATGAATGGGGTAGGTGAGAGCATCGGCCCGCAACGGCCTCGCACTGCATTTGACTTAGTACTTATAAAAGTCAAGCTGTGTTTACTATTGATCTCCTCTTAATGGTCATTTAGAATGATTAAAGGCTTTAGGTATGCCCATATTCCTCAGAGGCCCCAGTGTATTGGCCCCCACTCTATGTTCATTACTTTCTGGGAGGAAAGAGAATGACCCTTGGCAGGCTCTCACGCACTGGCCAGCCTGACTATGAGACTAGTCTCCGTTAGCATACTTCAGTTCCAATTTGGCTGCTTATTAATTGGGAAAGGCTGGGCAAGGACCTAGCCCACTTTGAGAATCTGTTCTTTTGTAATTATGCCTGTGAATGATATACGGTTGCAAAACCCACATTCGTCTTTGAGTGTTCCACATGTTACATTTACAAGAGGCCTGCTGGGGTTGTGCAGTTGGGCTCAGGCGTTCGGTTTATAGTGTTTCAAGACTTATGGGAGCAATATCTGCAGGGAAAGCTTTGAGGCAACATTGGCTGATATATCAAACCCAGAGCTGGAGAGTTTATATACATATACCTATTGGTTTTTCCTCCGTAAAACATTTTCAGCAACATAAACGTTCTGAATGCTGCAGAGTAATTGAATCAGATACAGTTTCAACATTGTCAATTGATGCATTCCATCTAATATCCCTTATCCCAACAGAAACAGAAGATTGGAAAAAGATTTTTCTAATGTATGTCACAACTGACTACAACTCCCAGAATTCTCAGCCTTTAATCAGACCTTCCTTCCAATTTCCAGGACAAAACTTGATCAGTAAGGACTCACTCCTGACTTTGATTCATTCAAGCCTTATACAATGCTGTGTTCATGCTCAAGTGGGAAGTAGGAAGTTTCCGACCTCAAGGTGGGAAAAGTCCATTTGAAAAATTCTTAAACTAATAATTCCCACTTAGAAACTCAGAGTTCCTCAAGAGCTCCGATTTCTTAGAGTCAGTGTCATTTTAAAATGGTGGCCCCTTAGAGCAAGAAGTAATAGCACTTTTTACATTTTTTAAACAGACTTTTCTTTCGGTTTGTGTGTTGTACCATAACTGCCAGGACAAAAGCTTGTATCTCCCAAATGGCAACTTTACAGGAGGGACTTTACAGGAATTCTCAATGGAAGATAATAGATCTTTTTTTTTTTTTTTAACTAATCTTAAACCAGGGCGGCACGGTGGCGCAGTGGGTAGCGCTGTTGCCTCACAGCGAGAATGGCCTGGGTTTGTTTCCCAGCCGGGTGACCGGGGTCGTTTCTGTGCGGAGTTTGCATGTTCTCCCCGTGTCTGTGTGGGTTTCCTCCCACAGTCCAAAAACATGCAGTCAGGCCAATTGGACATGCTAAATTGCCCCTAGGTGTGAATGTGTATGTCTGTCTGCCCTGTGATGGACTGGCGACCTGTCCAGGGTGTATTCTGCCTTCCGCCCAATGACAGCTGGGATAGGCTCCAGCACCCCACCGTGACCCAGAAGGATAAGCGGTTTAGATGATGGATGGATGGATGGATGGATGGATCTTAAACCAGTTTTGTCCTTATTCTTCATGACATTTTAACACTGTGTAAAGGGCAGCTGGCATTTTAAAATAAGCAATTATGTGCTGTTTGTGAAGGATATTGATAAACACAGAGGGATGCTTGAATAAGGTTAAACCATTCTGTGCGAGATGTTTGATCAAACTGCATGGCATGTTTGGCACTGTATTAACTGTGTAATGCCTACATCCACTTTTTAAATGAAAGAAGCACCAAGCAAACAACACTTTGATTCAAATGTGAACACTTTTCATGAGCTTTTTTACATGCACACAGCTTCCACATAAATGCAAGTTTACACTGTAAAAAATGTTTAAACTTTTTATTGTACTTCTAAAAGTTAGTTTACAAAACAGTAATCAATGGTTTACATTCTGTTAATTTATTATTTGAAGTTCAGTGAACTCGACCTTTTAAAACGACCAGGTTCGTTTTTTAAGTTAAAACATCAAATCATTTTTTCAGAGTACTATGAACATTCATCCTGCTATTTGTCTTTGTAAAGTCTTGTATGTGGTTTCAACTTGTTTCTTGTTTCTGAGCCTCCTGTTTTATTCATTTTGTCTTTGTTATGTTCACGATTAGTTTCTTGGTTCCACTCTTATGGGTTCTGGATCATGGTTTAATCTGCTGAGTTAATTTCCCTCTTTTTGTTTACAACTCTGCTTTTTGATTGGCTCTCATTTTCATTCCACTTACCTGCTTTTACATGTGATGAATAAAACCTTGCCTTTATTCCCTTTTTACTGTTTAGCCAAGCCAAAGTACATTTTACATGCATAAGCAAAAAAATTCTCAGAATGACAAAAGGAAAATTTTACAAACATACAGTTGAATGCAAAATTTGGAATAACCACAGTCAAACTGCTGTTTTCTTAAATTTCTAAGTGAAAATAAGTTAACACATCCTCTACAGGGACCAAACTTAAATCTAGCATTTTTTTGCAGATTTTGAATTATTAGCTGAATTAAACATGTTGGAAAAATACTGGCTCTCATGGCTTTGGGACCACTGGAAGTGTGGCCATGCAGAGTGGCCACACAGGGAGGATCTTGGAAGGTGCCGCTCACCCACTAAGGAGAAACTTAACATGGAACTAAGCTGTTGTTAGCGTTATGATGTGTTTATGTGCTGTTTGTGTGTAATTGTGTCAGGCTGTGGGGAAGATAGGGGTCTGTGTGTCTATCATGGACTGGAGATGTGTGGCTAGAGGTGACCTGCCTGGCTTCCTGGGCATTCAGCAGCACTGTGTGGTGGATCTCTCCAGCTGCTGTTTTCAATCAAAGACCAAGCACAGTGTTTCCTGCGTCTTCTTCCTCTTCTTCGTTGATGCCATGATATAAATTGTGCCATAATTTTTGCACAGACTGCATTTCATATTTTATGTTTTCACTTAGAAAATCAACAAAAAGTGTAGTTTGACTGGGGCACCCAAACTTTACCACTGTACGACTTGTAGACTAAACTACACTGTAAAATGCTTTAAAATGCATTTTTATATGAAAATGGAGCCATCCTGATTGCTTGCTTTTATACCTTCTATCCTTCTTTCAAGTGTCAGATTGTAGATTCTGATGATTTCCACTCTAGAATGCATCAAATGTAATTTTAAACACATTAAGATTAACTTATTTCAAATATATGTTTTTTTCTTTGTAAGTTAAAGTGGAATTGCGGCTATTTTCGCCCAGTGTGCTTTATTTCTTCTCTCTTTGAAAGACGTCTTTTCTTTTCACACGTCAATTTTCTTTGAGAGAGCTCTTGGGGGAAAAAGTGCCCTCCCAAGCTCAGAACAGGCCTGAAGGGTGTCATAGCTTTCTTTAATGCCAGTCTCATGTGAAGCTGGTCTTGCGGCACACTGGGACATGCAGTGTAATAAACTTGAGAAGCCACCTCACCATAGACTGTGGCTTTGTTTGCAGGCTTGGCTTCAGCCAGGAGTACAGGAAGTACAGACGTCTCCCTCCGATACTGGAACTTCACCTGGACAGCAGAGGACGAAATCGGCTTCCCCAAGGAGATGGCGGCAAGTGCAGGTAAGTCGCCTGCCATCAGCTTTGCTCTGTCTTTTAGCTTGATGCGGCCAGAGAGAAGAACGGCCCTTTCTAGGCTGTGATGCGTGTCGGCAGCTTCCTGCCAGCATGCGTATGCATCTCTGTCTCATCTATCACTTATTCTTACAGCCTCTGACTGTCTAAGGCTGGATGTGGGGAATGTGGTTGCTCTGATCAATAAATAAGCTCCAGCTCTAACATCCTAAGAATATTAGACAGAATGCTATGAGCTACTGATGCTAAATTCAGCTGAATATGTTGAGGGAAGAAGAGAGAGAGGAAGAGATAGAAACAGACAGACAGGCAGACTGGAAGAAAGTCACAGACACAAAGACAGAGAGGGAAAAAAAAAGGCAAGAGCAACAATTTTTTCCACTGAGTGCCCATTTAACAGTTAATAGAGCATAAACTGGTTTTTATCACGTGATCTTTTCTCAATCTGCAGCATATGTATGGATCAGCCGCTGCATAAGTTATTCTTAATTCGCTGTTTATATATGCAGACATATCCATCATCATAAACGAGACCATTGAAACAAGTGATGAATGAGATGGAAATCTGACACGTAATCCCTAAATAATGAGCTTCGAGAACATACAAAATGGTATGTGCTGGACTACCTGACAAAGAAAGATGCCTTTCAGTTCAATTCAATTTTATTTATATACTACTTTTTAACAACAGATATTGTTGCAGTACAGCTTTACAAAAAATGCAGGTGCAGTTCTCTAATGAGCAAGCCCGGGAGAGTCAAGTGGTAGGAGAAACTCCCTAACAGCATTAGGAAGAAACATTGTGTAACAAACCAATCCAGACACCAAGCATGGAGCAAGTTTAATGAAGTTCCCAAGATAAACAAACCAGGAAAAAATGGTAACAGTGAAGATTAGGCAAGCTCAAAAACAATAACACAGGCAAGTACTTTAAAATTTTAGAGAAAATTAAAATAAACAGGTTCAAAAACTCAAACAAAATATAGCTATCTTTTATATACGTATCGATAGATTCATAAATTCATACAGATCACTTTAAAAACAAGGGTACTCCACATTAAATTGATCCCTTGTTTTATTTTTTTTAGCACTTCTCATATCGGTTAAACTTGAAATTGGGATAACAGTTGAGCTGCATTTAGTCTCTCAAGTCAGACTTCAGGTGGTCCACGTATGTATGGGGGATCACTGCTATTTACCATGAAATTAATATAAAAAAATTATTTATCACATCTGGGGTGGCTTGAGTGGCCATGGCTACTCCAGATCTGATAAGTCATGGTGTCTTGAAAAATCCCAAGATGTTCCCAAAAGGGTAAACTCATCCTTGTCTGCCTGAGACCAGATAGCAAAATTATGATACAAGTAATTCCACTGACCAGTTGAGACTGAACAGAGGCACTCGGATCAGATTGATCAAGGAACAGTTCCATGAGAGAGCCAAGGACTCAGAAGTCAATCAAAGACTGTCAGAAAAAGGCGTCAACTTTTTAGAATTCTTTTTGGTTCCGATGGCGTTTATACACTAAAAAATAAAGCGGTTGAGTTGAAATGTATTCATGTAAAATGTATTCGTCTAAACTAAAATGTTGCTTTGCATTATTTTACAGTACTGATTGGAGTTCAATTAAACCAGTTAAATCGTTTTTTCCCCACATTGCTTTTTTAGATTTAGTTGACAAACCATTTTTGCAGTGTAACTGTGACCGTTACAGTGTTGTACCAAAGGTTAGTAGTTGAATACCAATGATCAAAGTACTGTATAGTGATGTTCTCTTGAGTCCACCCATCTGCCTGGGTGAGGGAATGAGTGAGTCAGATGTCAGGGTGAGGTGCAGAGGAGAGAAACTGAGCAGCTGTGTGTTTGTGTGACCCTCACAGCCCTGTTCACATCACAGAGGCGGAGTCACGGATGTCACTCGGCAGTGCCACTGTGTGTGTGAGTGTCCTTCAGTAGCTGCTGCTCATGTCAGAGGTCAGGATGTCTGCAAATTTTCAGTGGCAGTGTGGCGCAGGGCTGTCACCCAGCCGTTTGTGAAAAGCTGGAGGGTGATTGACGTACAGAGACTGGGGCCAGAGTGGCCAAGACTGGCCCCTGGAGGCCATGTAATTGGTGTCACTACAGTGCGGGTGCTCCCTCTGATTTATGCTGGGCTGGTCAACCCCACCGGTCATTGTGGCCAGAGCTGTTGCCTTCTGTCATTACTCAGAGTGACATGGTCCAGCTATGGGACAGATATGAAGCAGCTGCCCCCCCCTGTAGACGCCCCCCCGTAGACGCTCACACACCGAGATCCACTTATTTTGTGTCATTGGATTATGGCAGTAAACAAACAGACAAAATCAGAAGATAAAAGCATTCATACATGTGAACTTATGCTGCATGACAGCTGCAACTGCTGACTGACAGAATCTACTGAGGGAAAAAAAAAAACCCTCTCTGCTGTTATTCAAAGACACTGCCACTGATGTCCCTGTTTCTGAGTTGGATTGCCACTGAATCAGCTGTCGCCACGGCAAAAGAATCTGATTGACTGAAATAGACAGAAACAAGATTATGTATAAATTCCATTGTGGATGTGTGGCTGTTGTCACTGGTGCCCTTTTGCTTAGCTGTGATGCTGTGTAACATTTCACAAATCTTAAGGCTGGTATGAAATGCCCTCGTGCCCTGGTTATGTTGCATTCAAAAAAGCTATCAAGGGTATTAACAGGGAGTTTGTCCCTTCTTTGCTGCAGTAACAGCCTCTACACGTCTGGGAAGGCTTTACACTAGATGTTGTAACACTGCTGTCAGGATTTAATTGCATTCAGCCACAAGAGCATTAGGGAGGTCAGGTACTGATGTTGGATGATTGCTTTTGGATCACAAATGCCACTCCACCTCATCCCAAAGGTACTAGATGGAGCTCCATCATTACAGAGAACACAGTTCCACTGCTCCACAGCACAATGCTGGGGAGCTTGTAACCCTCTAGCCAACACTTGACATTGGACATGGTGACCTTAGGCTCATGTGTGCTTGCTCTAGAGCATCATATTGTATTGGCAATACTTTTCTATGGAGATTTAAAGTTGCTGAATTCAGTAATTAGAAGAAAGGTCTACAAACATTTGGAGATATAACCTGTGTTCCAAAGCCTAGGCTGCAGCCGAGGTAGGCTGCATTTCTCGGCTGCTACATCATAGAAGGCCTTTCCGAAGTAAAGGAGCCTTTGTATACAGCCTAGAAATGCAACCTACATTCTGAGTGATAGAGGACACAGAAGATGTTTCCTTCCAAGTCTTCGGTTACTCACAGTTCTCTGTGCACATATGACGCAAATGAGAAAAAAACAGCACCACGAAAATGGTGGAAAACAAAGTCGTTGGAGCAGAGCTTGTTTTAAAATGTAAGTTGTTCATGTCCTTGAGTTTGTCTTCGTTACCTTATGTGTAAAATGACTGATTAATTACAGCATTCGCTCACATATCGTATATCGTCTGTTGATCATATTTTATATAGAAGTATTTGTAAATATGTAGTTCATCGTAGTACATAAGAAAATCTGGGCTCCATTTTCTCTCATCAGTTTCCTCACACGTTTCATGCCGCAATTGCAAGAGGCGGGACCTTTCTGGTGACATCACCACACAGCCTCGTTAGGACTGTTCCATTTGTGTGACCAATAGGCTACTAAGGAGTCTTCATAAGACAGTCCTACCTGCAGCCTAGGCTTTGGAATGCAGCTATAGTGTATGTGATTTGATGCATCTAAATTTAACTGGCCAGTAATACCATGGATACCCCTGTAGTTTATTTACATGAACATGAGAAGCTTGACCAATCACAACAACTGTGTCTTGATAGCGTCTGCTAACAGGACAAGCTGTTATTAGGAACTGGTCAGCACACTACAGGTTGGAAGGTAAGGAAATTACAAAACTTGTTCAGATTCAAGATTCCACTCATAAAGTTTGTGCATTTCTAACTACTTTTTCAAACTATGCTAGCACTGTTAGTTCAATAATTGTGTCTGTTACAGAAGATTCATGGATTAAACTACTTGAGCAGTCACATCAGTCAAACGATGTGTCCATATCTTTTAATGGTTTAAAAGCCTGAGTTTGGCTAAAGGCCTATGTATAATGCCTGTACAGATGGCTTTAACCTTCAGAAACTTTATTTAATTATTTATTCCATTTAAATGTGTAAAACCTCCATCATGGGGTTTAAAAGATACAGAAGATTAAATTTACTGAATATTATTGAGCTCACAGCAAACAAACGTGTTTATATACGTTATTTCAATTTCTTATTTTTCTAATTGTACTATGAATTTATATGCTATAAAAAATAACATAGATGCTTTTAAAAAGCCCTGCAGTTTTATGTATTCCCTGCACCAAAACGCCTGATGCAACTCTAAAAGGCTTGAAAATGACCTAATCAGGTTTGTTGTTGTGGGGAATTAAAAGTGTGCAGGGCAGGGGGTCTGGAAGCCTGGAGTTGGACACATTGATTATACTGGAGTAAACAAAGCTGTTGTGTGAATAATGCTAAAAAGGGGGGAAAACTTGGAGACAAATGGTTGGATTTTTGCAACATGCACATAAATTGTCTCAAAGTTGTACTTATTTCAACTAATTATTGTATTTTTTTTAATCAGTAAAGAAGTAAAAAAAATCTCATTTTTTGACTGCTAAATTTGAGGAGGTGTTTTGAGAAAAAAAGAAAAACTGGCAAGATGGCTGCGCAAGCGACCTAAGAAACCCACAAATGTGAGTGTTTTCTTTGTTAAAAAGTTACGATAACTATTATATTATCTTAGTTTAATGTCATTTCAATGCATTATGGTCCTTTTTTCCATAAGAAGCATTAAAAATTGCTAATAGTATGCTGATGTCTCAGTAGCTACCTAGCTAAATTTCCCATTCCACCTTAAATAGTCCAGCAGTTACATTCTGGAGGCTCATGCATCAGAACTGCTGTACTATTTACGGTGAAA